AAGCTAACAGGTTTCCGCCACTCATGAGCCATATGTAACGGACGTCAGCTGATGCTCCAGGGAGCGTGTAGCCAGTGCCCAGATGCGCCGGGGAGCGGGACTCAGCAGGCAGCAGTGATGCAACAGAAGTGGAAGAAACTGATCTGTTTGAAACTGAAAGTGATGAAGAAGAAACCAGTGATGCGATAGAGGCTGAATAAAGTGATTTGCTCAGAGCTAAGTGTGATGCATCATATCATAGTATTGGAATGTAAACATTGCCTAATCACTAAATAAAAATGCCTTCTATTTAATGTTTAAAATACTGATTTCTGAATTTTGGGTAAGAAAAGTGGGGGGGGGCATCCTCTACATGGAGGCATCTTATAGACAGTTATGGTACTTAATACCAACCTTCTGAGAGACATTTATCCTTCATTCCCCACCTCGGTGCTGGATATTAGACACTTAGTAGGCTAGAAAAACCTTCTGCACATCCACCACTTTTCTGGCCGTCTTTACAAGACCGGTACAGATATCAAGAAAGGGGCACAACCAACTTAACCCATTTCCACGCTCTTGCTCCCAAATCCATAAAAGCCAAAGCAAATCAAGTGGCTCCAATGTTTAAAGATTGCAATTTAAACTCTTCAGAAAAAAGAAAAATACTAGGACCATTTTTAATTTTAAAAGCAAGTGCAAAAAAATGTTTTTGTCTGCTGTCTGATGCTGTAATTTTGTTAACGGTCGGGCAAAGCTATGGCACCAAGGCGCTGTTCTTAATATCCAAACCTGTAGCTTGACTGCAAGAGGTCTTCTGTAATGGTTTTCTAGCACAGAAATAGGAATAGGTTTCTGCTTCTGTCCCCAGAAAGGAGCTGGAATTTCTGCTTGCCAGTTGTTCAAACAGGCATGCTGAACTTCAGTCATACACAGGACCACATTCAATTTCAGAGATCCAGGTGTGTTGCTAGTTGCAAAGTCACGTCTGTCCCATTGCGAGCCCATGGACAACACTCCTCCAGGCCTTCCTGTCCTCCACCATCCCCTGGAGTCCACCCAAGCTCACGCCGACTGCTTCAGTGACTCCATCCAGCCACCTCATTCTCTGCTGTCCTCTTCTTCTTTTGCCATCTATGGTGCCCAGCATTAGGCTCTTCTCCAGTGAGACCTTCCTTCTCATTAGGTGGCCAGAGTATTTGAGTTTCATCTTCAGGATCTGGCCTTTGAAAGAGCAGTCAGGGTTGATCCAGGTGTATGGAGTTGTAAACAGCCCTCTGCTCCTGGTGTTCTGAAGTGACTGCTGTGGATTTCTTAGCCAAGATTAAACTGCAGCCCAAGAAAAAGAACCAAGCTGAGCATTTTAAAAAGCACTTCTTGAGCAAACTCTCTCATTATGTTTATCATCCCACACGCCAAAGGCTGTTTCTAAGCAGGACACTCCTCAGGTCTGTGGAAGGAACAACTTTAGAGAAAATGGCAGCCCAATTAAGGAAGATGTAGTACTTCAATGTACTTTGATTAAAGCTACAGTATTGCAGGGCGATGCCCTTGACCTGTGTGTCAGCATCACAGAGTGCCAACTTGGTTAGCCAGAAGCAAAATCCCCACACAACTTTTAGCAGGCGGCATCTTGTAGATTTGGTCCCTTCTTGCATGCAAACAGGCAAGAAGGAACTTGGAATCCCAAATGGTTATCATGTGGTGACTTTCATATGACTTATGTCAGGGGATCCTGACATACTAGCTGAAACTGCAAAACATTTCCCCGCTCCTGAAACTTAATCTTTGAGAGTTCAGTGAGAGATGCTTGGCTTTGTAAACATAAATTGCTCAGCTTTGCACATTTCTCTTCTGCCCTTTAAGCTGATTTTCTCCCCACAAATCCCAAACGCAGGTGAGCATGGAGCAATGACATCAATGCCCATTTTTACCCAGCACAGCTTTCTCCAGCCAGTGCCTTCAAGGACTCCAATTCCCATCAGCCCCAGCCAGTGTAGTCAACTGGACGATGGGAATATTTCAGCCTTTCTTTCATCTGGAGCTCTGCTAAAAGCTTGGACCCCAGGTCCCAGCATTCTGGACCACTGGCTATGCTTGCTGGGGCAGATGGGAATTGCAGTCCAACACAGATGGTCAGTACTAGCATGTGGAAGGCAGAGTGAGCTGGGTCTCTTTTTAGAGAAGGACAAGGAGTTTAGGGGAGGTCTTTCAAGTGCATATTTAAGCAGGGGATTTAGGGATTCAGGTGCTCCCCAACTGCTTCCAAAGCTCCCCTCACAGCCAAATAACGGTGCACTTTTAACTTACTGTTCCTTCCCTGCAGCAGCAGCCTCCAATGGAAGAGGAAGAAGAAAAGGGCGCTCTTGTCCTTTGCAATGCCTCTCTTGATTTTTAACTGTTTGTGACCTCAGTGCCAAAAGGCTCCCTGCTTTGTTTCACCTGCAGGGAGCAAATGAGAGAGTTGCTCTTTGCTTTTTAAATTACATTGATGGTTTTGAAAGTTTTAAATGGTTTTCCAGTGGGGGAAAAGAAACCAGCAATGAAGGAATTGAAATAGTGAAAGGTTTTGTATACCTCAATTCAAAGGAAGATCAACTGCAGCCAAGAAATACAAAGAAGATTGAGGCTTGGAAGGATGATGATGAAGGAATTAGGAAGCGTAATCAAATAGAAGGATGTTTCCCTGGAGTCCAAAGCTAAGATCCCCCATTCTGTTGCATTCCAGATCATCATGAATGGGTGTAACCTGGACAGAGAAGGAAGCTGGCAGAAAGAATTAATTGCATTAATCCAAGTTTGTGAGCTAATCCCAATTAGTGCACATAGAACATAATTCTGGTCTGAAAATGCTGATTCCATCAACAAGGCTGTATTTTAATTTCCTGCTTTCATTTAGAAGCTTGAGTAGGTTTACCTGTGAAATAATTGTGTTTTGCATTCCATAATGAAAACAAAACTGTTTCTCCACTGTTCTGAAATACTGTTATAGCTTTTCTAACAATTATTAGCAGAAAGACCATTAAGGAAAAAATAAACCGGGATTTTTGGTGGTTGGGCCCTGTCCCCACTGCCTTTGGCACCCCCAGCCTGGAATATGGGTCTGATGCCTTCCCTGAAGTCCTTGGTTTGGCACCCATGTTCTAGCGGGTCTTGTAGAAACAATGTAGATCAAGGAAACAACGATCAAAGGAAACAACAAAGATGGCTGCAGATGAGGATCCAGGCTGAACGTGCAAATAAATCCGTGACAACTTTTGACTGGCGTGTGGGAAATGCCTGAATCATGACCATGACCCACACTTTCCACGGGACGTGGTTGAGGCCCCATCGGTGAGGGTGTTCAAAGATAGGCTAGACATCCACCTGGTCGGCATATCATGAGTGCAGCCAGCTGGAGCTGGGGGTCAGACTAGATGGCCCGGGAGGCCCCTTCTGACTCGTGCTGTTTCTGTTTCTGTGTTTTTGAGAGTTAAGGGAGAAAAATCTCTCTACTTTCTCCATACCTTTCATTATCTTAAGCACCCCTATCATGCCTCCCTTTCCTCGCCTTTTTCCTAAGCTGAACAATTCCAGTTGTTGTTGCCACTCTTCGCAGGAGAGCTATTATTATTATTATTATTATTATTATTATTATTATTATTATTATTA